CAATGAAACTGTGATCATGTAAGCCTAATTACTTATTCATTATTTGTACATCATACACAGATATACTAGGAAAAGAAAATACATGGTCCTTCTGACTACAGCTGTGACAACACTCAATACAGACCTACACCAAAAAGGAAGAGCCTTATCTGCACACACACCCTGCGAGTTCCCATCTTTCCACTCAAAAATTCACCTGCAGCCTGCTGCTGACCAAAGGCTCAAAGCACAGATGGGGGACTCTTGCTGATCCTGCCAAATCCCATGGCTACGTTGCTCAACTCCTCAAGGAAAGTGGTATAGACCAGGAAGGTTCCAGGCTTGTAGTAGGCTCATCCTGCAGATGCAGAGTTCCCACACTGCTGGTTTCTACACAGCTCATTTTTTCCTATGTTCCTCCACAAACGCAGCACAGCAATTGTGCCTACAAACTCCCCTCCGAGGAAAGTTGACCAGATCCTCAATAAACTAAGGAATAATTTCTAGCTCTGGCCAGCTGAGGTACATGCTATTTGTAGAAACTTAAACAGCATCTTCAAGGTACGATCCCAAAATTAAGACCATTCTACACAATTCAATAAATATCATATGCAGATCGAGTGAGAAAAAGAGATTGTTAAGCAGTACATGTCAGACATTACAGCAGAAGAGCTGTATTTGTTAATGGTAGTTTTCTGACTATACTATATCCCAGCACCATTCCTTTTGCTATGCAAGGATACAACAAACCTTTTTATTTTAGCTATAAAGCATTATTTGCTAGATGTCCATGGATTTTGTTTTCTATTCCACAACAGCTATGCTCTGAAGGCTTAAACTGATTGTTCTTAAACCATAATATCATTAAAAAAATATCAGGAAGTTTATTCGTGGTTTAGTAATACTGCAGAGGGCCCAGAGCAGCAGGATCATGTCCAGACCTCCAAAAAACAGGCTCACCTACCATCCACTTGGCCAGCTTCCAATTAAAGGTAGAACATGAGAGCCAAACTGCAGCTACAATGATTTCAGAAAGAGCTGAAAAAATGAACAACTAATCGAGCCACAAAGTTCTACTCCGATTTTATACACACACACAGGCACAAGAAAAAAAAAATCCATCTGCATTTTATTTGTAACAACACACTAAATCCACAATGGGTCTCTAAGAGCACTTCTTCCCCAAATGCTTTATCAGAGTTCAGGTCAGTGTTCTGAGACCAACAGACAAAGCGACTAAACCACTGCAGTACACTGCTTCATTCTGATCTAAGCTTCTTCCCTTCAAAATATTGGTAATACTGTCATCTCAGTTCTTCTTGTCTTTCTGACAAATGAGACCACTGCCTTGCCTAACTTATTAAGGCATTCATTATCTCCTTTACACGTGAAACAGGAAAACACCTATCTGATTTACCTTAAAATATTTCTGAAGCCCTTCTCTATAAATAGAAAACTATTTCAAAGAAGATTGTGTGGACTCAGTTGCTGTTTCTGAGGTCCTCTTGGTCTGTTCTCTGATACAAGAACACCTGCATTTTCACCTTCACATCTGAGTATAAAACAGATCCATTTTCATGGCTAACACTTGCAGATTTATGTTGATCTCTGGAGTGTTTCTGGATGACAAAGGAGTTTTAAAGTGTTAGTTTTCCCATGAAAAGTAGCTCAGCTTTTTTTGAAGACACATTCTATTACCGAGCAGGCACTTTGTTTTCTATGAAAATGAACGATCATAGAATACATCAATGCATGCTACTGGATTCCTAAATAGATACAGACTCCAGCTATATGGTTCCTACACAGCCTTCAAAGACATTGCAAGGTTATCTCTCACCAGTGTTTGGGGAGGGAAGGGAACTGAGAAGGCACAAGACCTTCACCAGGACTGATGCATCCATTTGCGAGCATTCAAGACAAAGCCTCTCCAGCTGCCCTTGCCACCAGGCAATGCCTTCTTGCTTTTTCCTCCTCCACACTCTAGCAGTGAAAACAGAATTTCAGAGAGGATTGGCTGTCTCAGCTATCTCAGCAGTTCATGAAAGAATGAAATGCCTTTAATATAAGGTTCCCTTTTAATACAAAGTGTGGCTGTGTGGCATTTCAGTTAGATGTACACATTTGTCACTAGTTGACATTCAAGTGGTCTTTTTTTCCTTTTTCAAAATATGTGCAGTGTTAGGAATAATGAGTTTACTATGGCTCCAAGTCCTATAAATATGAGGTGTTTAATTTCTTAGAGTATTTTAGAGTATTTAATGTGGAACAGTTCAGCTAATGTCATAGGGTCTAAATATAAGAATTTAGTAACAGTGTTTCATCTTCAATTGCTTTTCTTCAAAGAAATAAAATTGACTCTGTAAACTGCTCAATCACAAGCAAAAGCCTGGGAGATGAATGGGTAGAAGACACTTTTAAAGGTACACTGTTTCTTACTCTCCCAGTGTCGGAACATTTCTGAAGAGCTGTCACAGGGGAACCTGTTCAGGGTTCCTAGGATCCATATTTAAATAGGAGACTGGATGTCAGAAGATGGTTATTCTTGGCCCCTCCTAATGAGGTCATGAAGAATTCTGTTTTCAAATGTAGTATTTCTAAATTGAAATTCTAATATTCCAAAACTATAACTGTGAGAGCTGATGTTTTCTGGAGTGCACTATCTTTGTTGTAATTAATATAAAATATTCATTCACTGATGTCTGAAGTTAGGCTGCTAAAATCAACATTCAGTTATGTAAGAGCACAGGATGCCAAGGACAAAAAGATTTATAGACACTTGCTACCATTCTGAAAAATGGCTTAATTCATTTAGAAGAGTACTTTAATGCTTCAGTTTCATCCCTGCCATCTAGCATTTCTCAAATCACATTCTAACACCTATTTCTAAATATGTTTATGGTTCATACAAGGTGAGATCTACCTTTGAATATGTATCCAGTTCTCCTGACATCCAAGATGAAACCACTGTTCGGTAAAGTTTGCTGTCCCAGTGACCGGAAATAGGATTTCACTTAAAGTTTTGGCTTGACAATACCAGATATAACATCCTAAAAGTGTACCTAGTGTTCAAAAAGTTGGCATACGAACAACAAACCAGAGAATTAAGCTGGTTTATTTCCTTAGCAATGACCAAGGAGACAACCATAACAGTCCTTTCATAATCCTACAATGCACAGGAGCCTTTTTTTTTCCCTTAGTAATAAATAGCAACTCCAACCAGTGGAAAAATACTTCATAGTGTTAAATGCCAATTCACGTGCTAAGTATTGTGATTTTTTCATTCAACTGAAAATGGTTAGGAACACCTAAACAAAGCCAAAGCACTTGTTGCTGTGCTATATATAGTTCAGCTCTGCTTGGGTTTCTTTCCTCTCTTTCATTACTTAAATCTGGAACTGGGAACTTTTCTTGAAGCCATACTGTTTCTCCCTTAGGGAAAAAAAAAAAAAAAGTATTTAAAAGCACTGCATCTTACAGAGCACCCCTAGTTACATATATGCCATAATCAGCACACTGTCATTCTACAGAGAGAGAACCAGATGACAATAGAATTCAATCAGTGCTGAGAAAGCAGGAATAGGGCTTACAAGAATGCTTACATCTGTCCCTAATTTGCTTGCACAAAAACCCATGGTAATTTGCTTTATTGCCAAAGTCATATAAAGAAATTGGGCACCAAGCAATATAGGTAATCTCGAACTGGAGGCCCTCCAGCCTAATTAGACACAAACACCCAGAAGGCACAAGACTGAAACATGGCATGTACATTTTGAAATGCATAAGGAGTCGGAACAGTCTTATTAGCAGCCATTTGAGTTTATGTTTAAGCCTCTAAAGCTTCTTTTTTGACAGAGGGAAGGAGTAAGTCATGTCCATGCCTAAGGCTAAGCGCAAGGCAAAGCATCCTGCTCCTTTTGGAACAGCCCCAATGCCCCAGCTCCCACTGAAGCATGCTTCTCCCAAGCTTTGCCCAGTTCCTGGATGCTCTCTTTGCAAAGACATTCCCACAGTAAGAAAGCCTAATTCTTATCAGCAATTCTGATAATGCCAAACTACTACAAGTCACTGAAAATTTAAAATAAATAATAATTAAAAAAAAAAAAAAAGTGATTGTGTGGAGGGATTAAAGAGATATTTGTTCACTATTTAGCAGATACATTTCTCTAGGAACTTAGACATGAAGTTGCGCCAGAAGCCATAAAAGTAATAATTTTCCTTATTTCAAACCTCAGAACATTTTTTTATTTCTCCGGCATCAAACTACTGCTGTCTACTTTCTGATTACAGGCTTCTCTCTCTCTGATTGTAAGTGTGCATCTGCTCTGCAGAATGATGCAAAGCTGTAAGGGCGGTAAAGGCAGAGGAAAAGCCTGTGACAATTTTGAGGCAAAATGTCCGACAGAAAAGGCCATGTATAGCACAGAACTGACCTCTATGTTGCAGACCTCAGACACACTCGAGGACTAGCTATTTTTGGGAACACAACAACTGCACCTAACTCAACAGAGGGTGTGATAGAAATGTTATCTGGTTATCGCACCCTAAGTTATTTGGAGAAACAATGCAAGGCAACACATTACTTCCCTTTTGAACTGATTCTGACATTATCAGGAAACATCTCTGTAGCCACACAACTGTAAACAGCTTCTGATTTTAATAAAAAGCTTTGTGCCCCTTTTTCTGCAAACGCATCACAAAGAAACACAGGGACACGGTGCAGTGCAAAAATCTTCTCTGCTAGAAAAACACTGTTGATAAACTCTCCTGTGAATTGAAATTCAAGGTCAGTGTGGACCTCTGTCTGAGATGACACGGCCTATTTGCTGCCCTTGTGCCTGAGGTCACCCATCAGTCACATTTTCTTGAGGACTATTGCTGGCAAAACAATCTGACACTGAACTTCAGCAGCATGCACTAATGAAGCATTACTGTTACAAGCAGGCGGATTTCAAAAGAGGAGGATTTGATTTTAAACATCCTTTTTAAAGATCCTTTTTTTTTTTTTTTTTTTTTTAGTTTGGTTAAGATTTTTTTTTTTTCCTCAGGAACACGTATTTCTGTTCACCTCCTCGTGCTGTAGGTTTGCCATTCGGGGAAAGAGGAACGGGAAGCTGTAAGAAAGGCGTTACGTTGCCACTGGAAACCCAGCGGGAAGCTGCCCGCGGTCCCCTCCGCTCCCCCCGCCGCCGGCAGCATGCCCCTTACCTTCCCGCTGGGGCCGGGGGCAGCTCCTCGCCCAGCGTGCCCCGTAGGGCTGAGGAGGCCTCATGCCCCAGCCTCGCCCGGCCGGGCAGCCCCGGCCCCGCCGCCGGCGTGCGGGGAGCGCCGCTGGGGAAGCCCCGGCGCTGCGCAGCTCCCACCTGTTGCTAGGGAAACCCCGGGGTCTCCTCGGCAGCGGCTGCTGGGAGGGGCTGAGGGGAAGATGGAGGGTATGCCTGCAGCCGGGGCGGGGGTGAGCGAGCAGGCTTTTTGTGTGCAGGGCTTGTTTTGTTTAATATAGATTTCTCCCTCTTTTTGGACACGATAAACCCCGCTCGTCTATTAATCTGTTTCAAAAAGAGAAATTGCCGTTCGGGTCGGAGCTGCCAGCTTCCGCAGCTAGCGTTGTATAGGCGGCCGCGAGAGAGCCGGGTATCACGTCTGGCTCTCCTCGCCACGGATCGATGGGGCAGGTGGAAAAATTATCGCGAGCAGATTTTATCTGAACAAATGGATAGCACAGTCCTTCTTTCTGTGGGGAATTTCTTTGGTAATAAAAGCCTGCAGACTGCTGAGAACTGTGATTAATGCGTAGAGAGACGTTCAGTTGCAATTCCCCCACCCAGAGCACAAGAGCTCACCGGCGTCCCAGAAATACGGCGGGTGAAATTGCAATGCCACTCAAAAACTGCTACCTTTCCCTTCAGCTCTGAAACACTTTTCCTTAGAGGTAATAACTCCTCAATTCCTTCAGTATGTCAGAGGCTCTGCATTAAAGCAACCGTGCCACGAGCTGAGCTTTGAAACATGAAAGCCGGATTGCAGGCAGCTCGGACTCGCTGCGGTTACAGTGGGCTGCAGTGCCTGCCGTGTGCGCTCACCTCCGCACCCAGCCCTTGTGCAGTGCTTTCGTCCTTCACCAAAATCCTCTCTTTCACAGCAGAAAGGACGGGCCTCGATTGTCAGAAGGGATCCCTGTGGGGTTGCTTTACTTGCAAATCTTTAGTAAGTTTTATGATAAGGTAAGTAAACCCTAATTGGACAATTTCACGCCATTTGTTTGTCACACCGATTTTTTTCTTTAAGCACTGGAAATTAGCAATTCCCACGCAAGGAGGTGTTTGAAGCAGCTTTGTACATTTCTTGCTTAAAAAAAATGCAAGAGCAGCATGACTGCATGTATTTGGAAGGTGTCGGCAAGGAAATAAAATGTGTATGGTTTTAGTGAATCTAAGATATGCTGACAATAATGACATACAAACCATCATTCACATCACTTATGTATTTCTCTCTTTCAGAAAGGCAGGCTCTGCTAAATGGAAAGTTTCCACAGAAACACAGCAGTTTTCAGCAGAAATTTCACCAGAAAGGCACCTTTGATCTGGAACCAACTTCAGTTGAAAGACACACCAGCACAGCCCCTGCATAAGCCACCGGATAGCGCTGAGGGCACAGGGGGCAGCACTGGTACCTCATGCCCCTCTGAGAACAGGAGTGCCTAGCAGAGTCTGGAGAGATTCCCTTCAGAATCCAAAGGAGGGCTACAAAAATAATGAAGGGTCTGAAGAACAGGATGTAAGAGGAGTGACTGAGGTCCCTCACTTTGCTGAGCCCAGAGCAGAGGAGCTGAGGGGAGGCTTGATGGCGGCTGCAGCTCCTCATAGGGAGTGCTGAGCTCTCTCTGACAGGGACAGGGCCCGAGGGAACGGCATGGAGCTGTGTCAGGGAAGGGCAGCTGGGGGTCAGGGAAAGGGTCTGCACCACAGGGCGGTGGGCATGGAACGGGATGCACAGGGCTGTGGGCACGGCCCTGAGTGCCAGAGTTCAAGGAGTGTCAATGGACAGCACTCTCAGACATTGGGTTTGATTTTGGGTGGTGCTGAGTGGAGCCAGGGGTTGGTCTCCATGATCCTTGTGGGTCCCTTCCAACTCAAATGTTAGCATTTTCTGTCCCACAGACCTTTTGATCCAAGAAATAACCAGCAGACAATGGGTGGCATTAACTTATCCCAAAAAAATCACTTTGGGTTTCAGCATATGTTCAGTTCTTGTATACCACTGGGCTTGTTTCTCTTTTAAAACTCCTACCTACCACAAAACCTGCTGGTAGAAGGACAACCGTCATTAGCTTGGAGGAGAAGAAGTGCAGTAAAATCAGCAGAGAGAACGTTTATTTGTCTCCAGATACATCTTCCTGGGGCAGTTGCTATGGTTCTGTACATTCTGAGGTTGTTTTGCCACATCAGCATTAAAAGCTATAAAAAAGTATCAAAGACTTAGATAAAATATGGGGAACTCAGTGCATGTGCTGAATGCTTGCTCCAGAGTTTCTTTGTCAAGATACACCACAGGTATCATTCTTCAGAGTCTATTAGATCTTCAGTCCCCACACACACTCACCTGCAAGGCATTTTCTTATATATTTCCCTTGTTTCAGCAGGTCTAAAAGCACTCTCATGGATGAGAAAAACACATGCTATGTGCTGCATGTGCACTGATAAAGTATCAGTAATTCTTTTTTTTTTTTTTTTTTTTTTGCATAATTATTTCATGTCTCTCACATACAGCACAAAAGATATAGTTGTTAAGTATAGTTTAATAAGATACAGGTTAATAAGTGCTCCTGAGAAAGTGGAGTGGTTTTCACAGGGACACTTACAACCCCTTTTCTCTGGGAATTCAAGTTATGGTGTCAAAAAGGGGAGCATTTTATACTGTTACTACAATTGTTGCTGCTGCTTTAATCAACTGTATTGAAAAATTTGCAGCTTTGGCCTTTTTGGTCTTCCAGATGTAACAGACTTTAATATCGTTACCCTAGATTCAGTATAACATGACTTTGTGATTTTAATCTTAAGTCTTATAAACATATCTGCAGTTACCCAAACAGTTCTGAGTGAGGTCAGCAGATTACAACTGTGTCTACCTGATGATTATAATATCTTTATGGAGGTTAAAGACTATTATCTTTCTGGAACATAAGACTGCCTGTGTTCCCTCTTACAATTTACTGCTGATCACTATTGTTTCCCAAAAAAAGTAATTCTGAGTACTGTCAGTAGTTCACTGAAATGACAATGGGTACTATTCATTTGCAGAAACACCTGACATAGTTTAGTTCTGATGATTACAAAAGACACAAGGAACCTTGGGAATTTTTTTAAAAATTTTTTAACCGTGACTCTCCTGAAACGTGAGGTAAACGGAGACTTTTTAAGGTCTCAGTTTGTCACCTCACCTGAACTCACTGTGAAAAACCAGAAGCAAAATGAAGATTAAAAGGAGTATGTAAAGAATTACTGATAGTTTTTAAGATGCTAATTTTTTTGTGGCTGATGTTCAGATGACAGGTGACCTTATAAAATCTACCCAGTGATAAAGATTTGTATGTGTCATTTTTGCTCACGTACAGCAAAAACATCAATTCTGATTTATTTTTTTCAAGGTACCTACAGAACATCACAGGATTTAGATATTTTAATCATTTATTTCAGGCACTCTTTCATCTTTGCCCTACAAGATGGATACAGTTTACTGAGTCACAGCATAGAAACACACAAGATTTTATCAGAAGGGCTATGTGCAGTAACTATGTGCTACTTCACTGGAAACCAGTGGCAGTGGTCCAGTACCTAACATATGCTATAGCGACCATAACACCACATGAGAGTGATAGGCTGGGCTGCAGGGTGAAAGGAAATGCAAAGTACACTGTAGACAGAGATAGCTATTCCAAGTTCCTCTTTACAGTGCTATTTTTAAGATTTTAGATGAAATCTGAACAGTTCACCTCAACACAGCCCTGCTATCCATAGCTTTGGAAATAAGTTCAGCATAACCACATGGAAAATAGTTCCTTGTTATGGTGTGAACAAGCTAAGAAGGAGGGACTGACTGCAAGGTTATCATCCAAATCACCATCTGCCCAAGGGAAGGGACAGCATGAAGTTACACTATTCCTGGAGAAAAGAAAGGACCAGATAGTTACCGAGACTTCCTTGCTCTCTGTAGAAAGTTATTAAAGCCCACCTCAGGAGGTTTGTACCTGCACTGGTTTATTCATGCTGTCAGTAGAAGAGATTTAGAAGAGATGCAGGCAAATCTTGGCTAGTGTTCCTGCCTCTAAACCTGTGGGGTTTTTTTAGGTGTAGATTGCAAGCCCTTCACCTATACCAAAAAGAAAGCAACAAAAATGGGACCAAAAATCTGGCACCATAAAATAAGAGAAAGAGAAGGCAGGACAAGATTTCTCCTTGCACACCTATAAGATTATCTCAAATGTCATCCTCTGAAGACAATCTGAAGCCAGCCCATCAGATTTTGTATTGCTTACCATACTGGCAGTATAATTGGTCCATCAGACAAGTAAAGTCCTCTTTTCTGTACTGAATGATCTGTCCACAAAGAGCAGTCCAATGAGAAAACCCAGAAGATACTGAAGGGAAAGACTGTTCATTTACCCAGTTCAGTCTCTACCATAAGATCTTGCCCAGGCCACAAGGAAAAAATGTCAGAGCACTTGGTTTGAAACAGTCCATAGAAGAACTAAACAATTTGTAAACAGGTTAAAGTCTAAATCTGTAACTAAAGCTGCTGCCAATTGTTAACTTTTGCCAGAGTGGTCAAAGAGGTAGGGAAAGTCAAGAAAAGTCGATTTCATTCCTCATTTTGCCTCTTTCAGTCTCTGATCTGGTTTTTCCCCAGAAGACTCTACAGGCTATCCAGTTTCTTGCCATGTAAAGAAGCTGGTCCAGAGGCATGAACATCTAAATTATTCCAGCAAAGTCCCTTCCTCTCCATCATATTTCTCACACTAGATTGCTTCCATGGGTACAAAGAATTACTACTGCTGTGCCACCTGGGCAGAAGTCCACTTTGCCATGGAGGAGAAACTCAGAGGCAGGCGGTTAAACCAGTATTATTCTCATTTCCTGCTGTCAGAGAAGTATGAGGAGCTCATAGGGAAGTGAGCACTATGTCTAACACTTACAGACTAAGAGCAAAGCTAGATGCAAAGCCAACAAGCATAGAGCATTCGTACATCATTTCTAAACATTTTGCTTCACAGAAGTCTGAAGCATTCAGTTGTCCCTCAAGAACTCATCTGGAGCAAAAAAATAACTTCATCTAGCATAGAAGACAGCTGGATGTTATTGTGATCAGATTCAGCAAATTCCCAGAGATGGCAACTCCATTGGACAATGTCAGTGTTAGGTTGGGTTTTCCACTTTGCTATATGGATGTATATTTAGGATAGTGGGATGAAATTTAACATACATCATTCTAGTTTATTGCTAGCCAAACAATTATAGCTGGTAATTCATTTAATATTTCTATATAGTTTGCCATATTTCAAGAAGATATGTACAACATTATGTAGCTGCTCTGAGCCTTTACCAGTTTCACATCAGTCACCTCTGTCAAGACCCATAGAATGTAAGGGCCAGTAAGACCTATACACAGTGATTTTCCACCCTACACGGCCACTTATGATGTTGTTTCTTTCACCAGCCAGGTGCCAGATGAAGAGCAACTGATCTGGAGAAAAACAGTTGGAAACAGCGTTCCTCCTTCCATCACACCAGCTGCTGAATTTATGCTCTATTGTCATCTGAATCTGCACTTTCATTGCAATTATTTTCAATGGTGCTAAGCTGGGGAAAGGGGCTTGTAGTTAAAGCAGCATATTTTGTGTATACATAAATGATAATCATGTTCAGAGAGCGGATTAATGGGGCTCTCTAATGATGACAGTGAAAGAAGATAGAGCTTTCATTTTCATAAAGCATCAAGGAAACCCTTCTTCACTGCCATCAAAATCTGCTGTGGCTCTAACTATTTATGTTTATTTTTATGTATTTATTATGAGTTTGTCTCCAGCTGTCAAGGAGGCAGGCTTCTGTTCCTTACCTTTCAGGGATGCATTAATCCTGGTGATCAGTTAATGTATGGGGAAGTTCAGGGCAAAGGGAACATGAGCTACAGCAGCCCAACATAGTGCAAATCCTGACAACAGACTGGAGCAGACAGGGGAGCTGGAACCCAGGAACTGTTCTATAATTTTGGCTATTACCAGCAATGAGAAAGCATAGAACTCAAAA